CATTTACAATAGCAGAATCTAGTTTACTGTAAAAAAAAACCCAGAGATCTGTACAGTCTTCCCCAACTGGTACATGGAATTATCCTATAAATAACAATACGAACCTTGAAGGCATAGTCCTCCATACAGAATTTGTATAAACTGCCCCCTCCCAGAGCAATCACTCTCTTACCAACGAAAACCCTGGTGCACTCGCTCACAAACCCCATGGATGCTGAAGCAGTACTGGCAGCGTTTATGCAGAGGTGGAACGCAAAAGTCTTGATATCACTGCCGGCCCTGCACCGATGCATATTGCATGGACACAGGCAGTACCGACTGCAGGCACCCCTTGCAATGGGACACTTCCTATCACGTGTCGATTGGATGCGTTAGAGGAAGACATGGCAGCTTTGCTAACACGCTTCTATAATTTAATTCCAAGACAGGGCTGAGCAGCTGAGCACGCCAAGCCACCAAAAACCCGCTAAATGGCTAGAGCAGCTATGTTCGCAACAGCAGTGTTGAAGTAAGGCCACGTTAGCAAGTGCAAACAAGTCACCAGGAGTTTAGGGATTGCTGTAATACAAAAGCACAAAGAAACAGGTTAAAGGCCAGATTCAGACTGCGAGGCAACAACGGACACCAAAAGCAAAGTTATTTCATTAGGCCAACAAACGGCAAGGTGGAGGGACAACCCATCTGAACCTCTCCAAGAGAAGAGAAGGAAACACTTTGCATTGTTCAAAGCAACCCAGAGACACGAAAGAGCAGGTTCCCAGCCGCTAAAGAACAAAACAGCTGTGAGGACACCGATGTATTTTGAGAGTCCAATTACCCATGTCACTTTTTTTAAATGACAAAATACCAGGTACTGGCAGGTGCAGACCACAAGCGGTAGTTACAGAAACTAAGAAACCCAAACTGTCGGGCTAACAACTCCTGCTGGTTTTTCTAGGGGCACAGGAGAATTAGTACTTCCTTCTTCAAAATGGTTACCAAGTTTTGATAAAAGAAAAAAAGTTTCCAAACCAGGGATATACAACTCAATGCCTCCCCCACCCAGCTGGATCCTGTCCCCATGCCAGCCAGATCCAGACCCACCTCCAGCAGCAGGGCGCCAAGGGGTGGCCGCAGCTATTGCACACCCCGCCGCTCTTAAAAGATGTCCCCGAGGGGGCTCCATATGTTGGCATTCAAGGGACCTAAATTCCCAGCCCCTCCAGGAGTCCCACGGGCTGGATGAAACCGCTCACGGGCCATACATTTAACACCCATGCTCTAAACCATCAGTTGGCTTTACCTTCCTCACTCTGCCCAGACAACATACCCTGCTGTAGTACCCATACACTGAGCAAATCACACACGACCCTAACCCTTAGGTAGCTGGAGTCCAGTGTCTTTATTACTTTGGGTAAAAAAGTACACTCATCTGGAGGCTGAACTCTCGCACAAATTCCTTACGCCAGCTGGACAAACTCTTGGGCTGAAAGCTAGCTCCTTTTTGAAGGTTTAATCAGAATAGAAACTTCTTTCAGGTCACTGAAAGCAACAACGTGAGAACAACTTGGTGCCAAATACTGTGCATTCTTGGTCTATGCTTCAGCCAAGCAAGCCAAGATCTAAGGAGCCACGAGCAGGATCTGCCTAAAATTACTTGGGTGACACGTTTTTAATCATGTGCTAGTCTCAGGGACAGACAAAGACATTGCACAGTATCAGACGAAAATCTTTTCAAAACTTTGGTACAAGATTCAAAAGTCCAATTAAAACCGTCTATTAGAAGATGACACTTTCTGTCTCTTGGATGTGCACAATTGCAGAGGAAAAAAAAAAGGAAAGCTATGTGGCGGTTGGGGCACTAGTCCTGGTCTTGGGAGGACCGGGCTAAAGACCCTGTGCTCCTGCAGACTTCTTGGGAGACCCTGAGCAAGTTGCTTGGGAACAGCAGCACTATTCCCATCTCTAAAATGGAGATGATGGGACTTCTACATTGTATTGAATTGTGCCAAGGATAAACTTATCCCAAACTGCAAAGGACTCTTACGCTATGATAACGGAGGACACGGAGCAGGGCTGAGCAAAAATTTCTCTGTGCAAATAGTTTCTCCATTTAAAAAAAAATGCAGACGTGACCTTAATCAACACTATTAGTGAATTTGTTGAATTGCCTAGATAGGGGTTGGGAAAGAGCGGGGGTGTGGGAAATGAGGAAACAAGTTGAAGGGTTTCACACGTTTCGTTTCAGAAAGTGCAACTGAAAAATTAGCTACATTTACTGGACAAGTGGTTAAAATACCTGAAAAAGCTGTTTTCTTTCATCCCAAAGTATCTTTTTCGGTTTCCCATGTCAGCAAGATCATTCAAAGGCCATCTGAGGCAGTCGGGAGATGGAGAGGTATTCAGAGATACGCAGGAGGAACAGGCACTTCCACCCGCCACATTAAAAGGGGAATAGAAACATCAAGCCCAAAGGAAGCTTTGCTAACTGTCTACCAGACAGTTCAGTAGTGCAGTGGTGCTAAAGTATAATTGATATTTTATTGTCCTGGATAGTATTTGGCTATGGACCCTGATTTAAGACAGCCCAAAAGAAACCATTATCTGCACTTATATAGGTATTTTACGCTCATAAACCACATAGTTTATAGCTTCCCTAAGTAAGTGCAGCAGGTCCTTCGCGAGCTAAGCTGGAGCTACGCCAGCTTCCATAGGGCTGCGACGTCTAGCTCGGCTGTTCTTGAACTAGGTTTACTCAACACCACTCTTCGCTCTTTCATACTGTGCTCTCAAGTCTAGGAAGTCCAGCTGCACAATTCGCCTGTGATATAGTTTTATACCCTCTCGAAGTTCTCGCGTCCTTTAGCCACACTATTTACATAAATGCCGAGATAACTGCACCCTGTAGAAGACTTAACGGTGTAGAAAACCTTAAGGGAACAATTGTTCTGCTACACAGCGAGTTGTGAAATTTTAGCCTTATGCTATAAAACTTATACTCCCATGATCAGATGAATGTT